GCTCCGAACACAGCATAACTTTTACGAATATATTTTAGTTCTTTTTTAGAAAAAAGCAGCATAGAAATTGCCCACAAATTGAAGAATATGCCCGCTTATTTCAATGTGGCTGGATTATAGCATTATATGCTCTTCGCTTTGAGTAAACTAGATGATACGTTGTGTGTTGCTGCGAGAATCAATTGCAATATATCCATTGAGATTTGGTTGTATGAAACATGAATATTTGCGTTAATAATATATCGATGAAAACTAAAAATAAATTATTAAATATTGAATTTAAGATATACTTTTATTTGTTAATAATTTGAGGATTAATATTTCACTAAGGGAGACACGGAGTCAGAGTAAGTAAAATTGCTAATTCTAATTAGAAAAAAGAATAATTGCATTGTATTATTGTATAGTTAACAATTTATCGAACATAAGTGGCATGATATAATTAGAAAAGACGCATGCATGTTGAAGTGGGTCTATGATGAGGTTGTATGTAAGGTGAAGTGGAATGCGTGCATGTTAAGATATATAGAAATATTGAGGATCAACTAATCTCTACTTCTTATAAAAAGCCGAGTTGGTGATGATGGTGTGCCTGCCATCTTGCAAGTAGATCGTCCGATCTATATCTGATGGATATAAAGCAAACTATGGCAATTTTGCAAAAAGATACCCACACCTTTCTCCACATTTACCGATAAGGCCTTTCTTCATTCATCCTTATCTCCCACAACCTCATTGTTGAGCAATTAAAAGAGAAAGCCTCTGGAACAATCTGGCATGGTGGCCGCTATCGGCGTCATCCATCCCCATGCTTCCGCTCAGTCCGACCACCAATCACCACCACGTCCCACTCCTCCTCATCTTATCTCTCCTCTTTCTCAAGATGCATGGGTCAATCACAACAGGTGTTTCGTAAAAAAATGCATCTTGATGTTCCGTGCAATGCACGAGCATCTTGCTAGTAATTGAAAACTTCTTCCCCATGCATGCATACATGTTCATTTGAATCCTTGATGATGTAGCATGTGTCCATGTTGAGATAAATCGAAGTATCGGGATAAACTATTTTGCTATATTAGATAAGCAATGACGTAGAAATATCTTGTAAATGTAGAAAATGGATAAAGATTCCAAAGCAACTCTAGCAAAGGTCATATGTGTCACAATCGTCAAAAATTATGGATCTAGCTCCAAAAATGCCTTGTAGCCTCCAAGTATGGAGGATGTGGAGGCATTTGTTTGGAGTTCGCTCCAATCCCAACCACCGGCGCAAGAGGGACGCTTCATCTTCTTCCTCCTTGCGCCACAACCAGGTTTTGAAGCAGCATGCGGCCTATACATCCAGCACCGTGCACAGATAACGACCGACGATAGGGGGACATGCCCGCTAACTACCCGACATTAATGGTGTGGTTGCCCCCTCAGATTCCGTTGGGGGTCCATCGGATGGACACCATGCGGCTCTGTATCCTCACCGTGGCGAGGCGCCCCCACCATCAAAACACTAGTCTTCGCCTCCCCCTCGACAATGTCACTACGCCGGAATGCAGCTATTGGTTGAATGTGCTAGCGGATGGGAATCTTTCGTC